TCCCTGTCTTCTCAAACACCCATTGCCACACTGCCTTATGCACTAAAGGGGCCATGTATGTCCTAAAAGGCCGGCTATGTTCATGCAAAATGTTTGTGGGTGAATGCGTGCTCGTGAGTGGAGGAAAGTATTACCTATGGAGTCCATTAAAGTGCTTAGGCTTTGCTTATAGAACTAGGGTTACAATATTGTAACCTTAGTTTAGCTCTGTACTTGTGCAATTCATGTTTCTGCCTCACTTTCTTTCTTCGTCTCTGCTGGGCCTTTTTTGTCGGGCTCCACAGTGCAGCAGTCTGGTGCATGTTCATGTAGTCATGCACTTTTAATATGACGACAGTTGTTGGATTGCCTACTTGTATTATAGAAGAAGTTATTCATAGGAATTAAGATAGTTGTCTCTCAGTCAGGCAAACCATTTTTATCCATCGTGAAATATAACCATTTAATTTAATTTCATACAAACATTTGTAATCCCGAGAGGATGGGACTAGACTTTGACTTTTTATATAGCACAACCAATGGGCTTAAACTTTTTATTTGTCAAAGACTTTGTCCGATGACAAGATGGTCTACAAATAAATACTGAATTCCAATCAGTCTCAACTCTACTTAAAGATCACCTACTATAAGAAAATGCACATTTTCATGGCTTTTAATGTTTCTACAGACCCCAAGAGTGTCAGAAAAGAACTCTCTCTTTCTCCTGCTCCATCTATTCCAGCACAGCTTGTTTTATCCCTATGCTGTCTCTAGGTAAGAAGAGAGGTCCGAGGCCTGCAGGAAACCCTTTGCAGTTTAAGTAAATGGGGACGATATTGTTGATTGTCATAATCTTCAACCAATCAGATTTTTAGTTTGACATGTTGGGCGTATTCTTTGACATGTATTCTTTGACATTTGCCATACATGATTGGTCAGTGGGCTAGCGTGACATTTTGGGCGGTGTTATCTGTCAAGCAGACATTTTCAGCCCTCAAACACATTAAAACATATTCAAGAAATACAACTGGGGAGGCTCGACTGTCATCACTGGCGTCCATGAATCAAGAAGGACTTCTTACTGGAACTAAAACACCCAGAGGTACTGTACAACCGTGGGACTAAACTCTTTATTAGCAAAGAAAGGAGGATGGACTTTGTCTTTAAATAGTGAACAGCAGCTCTGGTAAGTGAACTGCTTTTGTTTTTACATCTGCAGTAGCTTTACTACTGTGTTCATTTTTGTATTGTGTTGTTTTTATGATATGGTTAATATTGTTCCCTCTGATGTGAATAATATTTGAATGGCCCGTGCTTTTGAGTGTGTGGTGGAATGCGTGTTTTAGCGCTGCAGTGTTGCTGGATTGATTTTGACTATATGCATTGTCCATAAATGACGCAGCATCCTGTCATGTATCTCTGCACTGTGCAGTTAGTGTATTTCAGTAGCGGGTTGTGTGTTTTATACCTGGGCCTTCAGTGCTGTCCTACTCCAGTTGAACCACCTCCTAATAACCTCATTATGACGGCACAGCTACGGGTTATCTGTTTCTAGGGGTGTAACAATACACATTCGTATTAAACCGTTCGGTACAAGGCTCATGGTTCGGTACGCATTACGAACCGAAAAATTTGTTTGAATAATACTATAATAAGCTTAAATTGTGGGAAATAAAATGTTCTCTCGGTGGAATCACTGCGCTCAACATGGCAACCCACCCGACGTAACAGGTAACGTGCTGTCCGACACTTCCATCACGGAAGAACAACATTGTACTTTGGTGAGGCACGTGTGTTCTGGGAGGCGCGCTACGCTAAACTAGCTTAGCAGGAAAACCAACAGCAGCACACACGCTAGAAACTCTCCCCACAGCGTTTAGGCAGCTGTTCCCTACTGATTCAAACAGGGCTAAAGCAACCGCCACTGTCTATTTCGCCAGACCATAATTCCTGCTTTGTTAAAGAAAACAAAAGACCAAACAGAGAGTCAAATGTCCGAAGCACCCACTGCTGCTCTGACAACAGACGGCCACTGTATTGTATTGACCCGTATTACACCCCTATTTGTTTCGTGTACAAATGAAGCTCAACACCTACAAATACACCAGTGGTGGGCCGTAAGGGCCAGCAAAGCCTTTAAGGCCTAAACATAGCTATTTTATAATTTAATAATTTTTCATAAATACACTACATGTATTCTAATTATTTTTCCCATTATCTTATTATCACATTGCATAGCTACTGTCTTCCTCAGTTGCTCTGTTTCCAGCGCTGTTGTTTTAAGTAAAGCTTTTATCCAATCAGATTCGCCCCATGCTGTCTTTAAGTAAGAAGAGAGGCCCGAGGCCTGCTGGAAACATTTGCAGTTTAAGTAAATGGGGACGATATTGTTGATTGTCAGTCTTCAACCAATCAGATTTTTAGTTTGACATGTCTGGTGTATTCTTTGACGTGCCAGAGCTTCTGTGTGGCCTAGCCGAGTATGTCAGCATTAACATGCGCCGTGATTGGTCAATGGGCTAGTGTGACTGTTGTGAAACTGAAGCTAGCTAGCAGAGTAGTAGTAGTATTAAGACTTCAATTGAAAGATATGTAAGAAGTTATGACATTGACATGACATTTTTAGCATTTTGCTTGGTATAAATTTTTTTTTCTTAACCTAACTTTGTTATTTTAACACTCAATGTCTGAGGGAGGAGAAACGGATTTGGTGGCGGATTTACGCTTTTCTTTTCTTTTACCCAGCATGGAAATTTGTGCGCCACTTTCAGTCCATCAACTACGAACGGTATTCCTGGCTGACAGCGTCGGAGAAGCGTTGCAAATTGTATTGCTGGGAATGCCTTTTATTTGCAACTGAGCGTCTTGGTGTTTGGAGCCACGCTGGATTTGTTAACCTGAGTTGCCTGACCAAGGCAGCAACAAGACATAAAACAACAGCAGGACACTTACAAGCTACGGTGCTTTTGAAAACTTTTGGAGAGACCCGAGTGGTTCTACAAATCGTTGGCAGGGAAACAGAGCTCCACAATGAAAACATTAAGAAAAATAGGAAAATAGTGAAAAGACTGATAGATTGTGTCATCTTTTTGGGTAAACAGGAGCCATTCAGGGGACACGAAGAAAGTAAGGAGTGCTTCCTCATGTGGCACCAACACGGTGTATAGCTCTAGACTGGTCAACACGGTCTTTGAAAAAACAGGAGCTTTTTGAGCACATTCTGGAGCACCATGACGAGTACGACGAAGAATCTGTGCTCTGTGCTGACAGATGCAAAGCCCATCTGGAGAACTTTGAGTTTTGTTTTTTGGCTGTCTACATTCCATGGGATTTTTGAGTATTCGGATGTGCTGTTTGGAGTACTACTGAAGAAAAAACTGGACGTACATTTCTGTCTGAAAAGAGTGGATGAGTTTTGTGACACTATTGAGAGAGAAAAGGGACGGTTTGATGACACTTTTGAGTCCACTGTGCGTGAAACAGGTTCCCAAAGCGCACGGAGAGGCCAAGCGCAGGGAGATATTCGTGCACTGTACCAGAAACTCCACAGCGATATCTTGGACAACATTCTTGCCCAGATACGAAATCGGTTCAAAGACCCCGAGAAATTAATGTTTCTCTCCCTCCTCGACCCCCAGAAGTTTCAGGCATATAGGAAGAAATTCCCGTATAGCCTCTACTGTCTGAAAATTTAACAAAACCTGTCAGACAAATGTACAATATTTACCTCTGAGATGTAGTGGAGTAAAAAGTACATTTATCTCTGAAATGTAGCTCAATCTGAAAATCACCTCTATACCGCCACCTAGCTGTAATCTGCTGAGAACGACAAAGAGATGGCCACACACAAAATCAGATACACACCGATACACACACATCGAGAACCTGAACAGTCAGACTCACTGTGTGTACGATAGAGAGCGAGAGAGAGAGAGAAGTTGTGTTTAGGCTTGCTTACATTATTTGAGGATGAGGTCCCTGTGCCTATCCTTCTTGAGAAGGATGTTGATGACAGCATTTTAAAACTCCTTTGTCTTGGTCTTCAGTTTTATGATTCTGTCTTTCTCGATTGATATGCAAGTCAGAGATGAAAGTCTTTATTGCTCCTTCCTTTTGCGGCTGTAGATCTTTAAGTGTTTTAAGGCAGAAAAATAATTTTGTACTGATGCTGTGGTGGCTGGAATGGTCAATACATATTCCAGCAGTTATGTTGCCTTTTAAAGGTTATATTCAACCACAAAAACCAGCAGTTGAAGAGGTAATTTTTCCTTGACCATCTGTAAACAATATACTCTGATGAGGTTGGCAAGGCTATCATCATTTTTACTTTTTACAATTAACTAAAGCCATAAAATTAAGTTTTCCCAAGTTCTTGAATCTTGCCTCCATTGATGCTGTCCAGGATGCTGTACAACAGCCTTTGACAAAAAAAGGCAGGTAGAAGCTTAGAAAGCCATAGATTGAATCCAGAGGCCATTCTTAGTGCCTTCCCATCCCAATCATTAAGATGTTCTTGAAAAAGGTTCCAAACCTCACAAAGCTCTTCATTGTAAAACATTAGGGTCTGAAGAAGCCTAGAGTTTGAGCTCTATCTGGTAGCTGCTGCCTGTGGAATGAGTCATTTTACCATTTCATCAAGAAGACTGGTGCATTTTGTAGACTTGCTAAAATAAGCCAAGCCTAATGACAATGTTTAGTTTGAAGCCATAGCAGTGAGCAAAAATATTGCCTCTTGGACTTTTTCTCAAATTTTTGCTTTTATTCCTTTTATATGAAAAGCCATTACAGATGCATTATCAACTTGTGTGCACAGTTAAACTTCTGTTTCATGATAACATGTTATAATGTGAACTGACAGGTTTAATTAAATACTTAAATTGGTGATCATGGTTTATACTGTTTTCATCAGATCAGTCTGATAATCTGTATCTGTACAGATTGGATTTGACATTATAGTTGTGTCACACAGATGTCCATATCCGGATATGTATTAATTCTGTGTCTGTGGTGTGTGTCTGCAGTGTGTTTGGGCACATCAGCTATAGGTCAGACTGGGAGTTGGTCAAAGTGGACTTCAGGCAGTCTTTCCCCCATCAGTGTACAGAGTCTGAATACGAGCTCTGGAAGCTCACAGACCTGCAGGTTATGCACACATACAAATACAGTACATACACACATAATTACTGTACATTTGTTTGTCGTTTGAAACTGAATTCCCATTTTTCCATGGTTACCGTCAGGGAGAGAAGTGCATTATGGGCCAGGAGCGGAGTTTCAGGAGAAGGAAGGACACAGCATTCTGTATCAAAGGAAAAAGCTACACATCAGCTCTCACCACCAAACCTTGTCAATGCACAGAGAGAGACTTCACCTGGTGAGCACTCCACAGATGTAGAAAACACTGAACAGACTTTATTGCACATTGTGGATTATTATATCTGAAAAATTAAGCAATAAATGAAGCACAAATAAAGATATATATTAATACATAATATACTGTGTATAAATTAATAAATAATAGAGGACACAATTGAGGATCAAACATTAAAAACAATAGAAAATCACTATTTAATTATATTAGATTAATTTATGAATTTTAAATGAAAAGGAACAGAAAGGAAAAAAATATGACAAACTATCACAATGGAAAAAACCCATCCAGCAAATGTCTATTAAAATCATATAATGCTCTAAATCATTGCAAAAATGATAACAAAACGGTTGCCTCAGGTGTCTCTACCGTGTCCATTATTTTTTCATACCAGCACTATTTGTTGTGTATTATGTGTTGAAAAATATCTAATATACAGCACGTATGCAAAATATGCATTATGCAGATTAAAGTTTACATACAAAATATGAAATTATGCACATGCATACTGCATTGAGCTACTATGTTTAATTTGCAGGTCAATGTTTACTCAATATTCTTATTATTCTTCCATCATATCTGTGTGTTTGGTGTGTATGTGTGTAGTGACTATGGTTTTGAACGGTCCCCAACGGAAGGCAATCGCTGCTTTGCTGACTTCTGGCATAATCCAGATTCACCGCCTGAAGACTGCCATCTAAAACCAACCTATACATCCAGCACTGGGTCTGTGCATGTGCACAAACATATTATCATCATCACACCAACACATATACACCCACACACACATAGACTTATTTTTTCCAGGAGTGAGATGATAAGATCAATATCATTGTCATATCTATGCGCTAATTATGGAGCTGGAGTCAAAATTGTTACAGCACTCTCTCTAAACCACAGTTTTTTGTTTTTTACATTTTACTTTGTGAATAGATTTAATAAATTAGATAAAATTTGTGTATGTTGTGGCAACCTGGGGGACGTGGAGGCAAGATTCAGAGATAAAACAGGTGACTCAGAGACAGTAGCCATGTAACAAAAAGTGTCCTTTAATAAACTGGGTAGTGTAAAGCGGGATAGGGTCAAACTCAACAAAAGATTCCTCCCGGTCGGGGTCTTTGGCCTTCGGTCTACACCCAGGGTGAGATGATTCCTCCGTCCTGTTTGGGCAGAGCAGAGGAGAGAGGTGAGTCCGCTATATTACCTCCGGTCTGCTGAAGCTCCTCTCCAGAGGTTCAGGAGATCCTCGTATTCTTCTGCCCAGTTTGTCTGCTCCTGCTGCTTCACAGCCCTGGGAATATATGCTCATTGTAATTAGCTCATGGGCTGCAGGTGTGACCAATGCCACGTGCCTAGTGGCTGCAGCATCTGCACCGGACAGTATACTCCCTCTATCACCTCCCCCAACCTGAGCTTGGGGATCCGCCTCCTGTGCTGTGTCGGCTTGGCTTTTCCCCCTGGTTTGCCACAATGTGTGTAGTAATAGAGGTGGAAAGGCACACAAAACGTACTGTTCGGTATGTACCATGGTTTTGGGGTCATGGTTTGGTATGTTTGCAGTACAGGAAGGAAGAGAAAAATTATAATCATCAGTGTGCGAAATACCTGGTGGCAATTGTGGAGGTTCCGTCAGACCCCCCGAGAACACCCTTGAACACCCTTGTGAAGGGGGGCTTAACAGCACACTGATAATAATAATAATTAATACTTTATTTTATAAATGTTGTTATTCAACAGTGGCTCATTAGCCATAATTGTCATTGTAACAGTTAATGCACTCAAGGCACAACAGACTGAGTAAAATTCACACATGAAGGCACCTTGTAGCGGGACTCAAGCACTTTGACCATATGCTTTACTTCGATATTGTCCACAATCAAGTGTGGTTGCATATAAGCAGTAAGAAACAGTCATAGACAAATCCTTGTCTATGGAGCTTCACTACGCTTCTACAGATGACAAACAAAACCTTCCACCTAACTCGAACTGTAGCTGTTTGGGTCAGGGGCGTACAGAAAGTTAGTTTTAGGCTTAATTCTTGAACGTTAGGCAGAATCAGACTAGCTGTTTCCCGCTGATTCAAGCCTTTTTGTTAAGCTAATTGCTACCTGTCTCCAGCTTCATTAAGACACAGATATATGATTGATATTGATCTTCTCATCCCAATCTCTGAAAAACAAGAACATAATCCTATTTCCAAAAATGTTGAACTGTTCATTGTAAGATACTTGCATACACCTTCACACTCTTACACTTAAGCTTTCCTCTGCTGTGTTTCAGCTACAGGAAGGTGATATCTAACATGTGTGAAGGGGGGCTTAACAAGCAGCACAGTACCAAACAGCACAACTGCCCTCTTTTGCCCCCGAAAGGACTACAGGTCGGCATCAAAGGTCAGATGTTGGCCGTGGCTCCTGGTGATGACATCACATTCATTGTCCACCAGCAAGAGGTAGGATGAAAGGTTTTGTCAGTTCATCCTTTCCTTCTTTCTATTCAATTTGAATTGGCTGAAAGTCCTCATTCGTTTCTACCAGGGCGACACCGGCAGCACTAGGTACCAGGTGGACCTCGGCGACGGGGTTTGGGCAATCTACCAGAACCTGACAGTGACAGATGATCACATCCAGCATCGTTACAAAAATCCAGGCGTTTACAAGGTCACTGTGAAGGCCGAGAACATGGCAGGGCAAGACGAGGCCACCATGTACATCCAGGTCACAGGTCGGCCTACCAGATTCACTGAATGTTTTTATATGGTTATTGGACAACTATGCATATTTTGTGTTTTTGAAAGGTAGTCTTTAGAGGGAAAGTCTCAATTCATTAGAGGAATATCGATGTACTAATGAAAAACATTTGTTCTTCTCTTACAGCCCCCCTACAGGAAGTGCACCTGGAAGTGGTACCTATCATTGGTAGAAACCATGAGGTTAATCTGACAGCCATAGTCCTTCCAACTGAGGCCAACCTGTCTGTCTTCTACTGGTGGCTTGGAGACAACCAGCGGGTAAAGGACACACTACATACTCCATCTTATAACTTTTATGAACATTCGATTAAAACATTTTTACAACTTTTTTTCCCTTTAAAACCCCATTAGTTTATCTTTTTGGCCACTTTGGGGCAGCAAAACAAGCTGAAAACACACTTTTAGAGTTGTTATAGCAAACATGTTAGCAAAGCAAATACTATTTATATCCAGTAGACACAGAGCAACATTATCATTCATTTTAATGAGTAATGTTTGTGTCCACCTGATGAATGATAACGTAATGATTCAATGTAATATTCACACTCTTTTAGTTCTGCTTTTGGTCTCCAAATAAATATGTCTCTTTAAAGGAACAGTGTGTGATTGCAAACAACAAAATATCCCTCCACTCACCCCTACCTTTACAAGCATGTTGATAAACGGTGGTGTTCAGATTTTAAGATTTTATTACTACTAGGAGCTACTATTATGAATACTCGGTTCTTTTTCATGAATAAATAATTACTTATAAAAACAGATACAGAAATTAAAAAGTACCAACAAAAAAACACCAGCAATGTCAGTACTCCGGTCTTTAATAATTTAGCACCGGGCACCGTTAAATGCTAAATTTCAGTACCAATCCCTACCTTTAGGTAATGGAAAAACGCGAAAGACTCTCACTGGAGCCAGTGTTTGGTTTTGTCTGTTCTGGGCTGCTGTAGAAAAAACATGGCGGTGCAATGTTGCGTTCTCCATTAAAGAGGACACAATCACCATGTAGTTATCAATGGCTTTTTCTAAGCTAACAAAAACATAACGATTCTTAGTTGCAGGTTGTTATACAGTAATGAAAATGATATTCCATTCCTGCTAATTAATCCTCCTAAATGTTACTCATTGTTCCTTACCTGCCAAACGCTCCACTATGTCCACCAGCTAGTTGCTTACTTTGTCTGTCTGCTGTTTAGTGCTGAGGTAGTGTACAGTGGATTTTAGCGCTTTTTCTCTGAAAAAATATGTCTTGTGCAGCAGACATCAACACTATGAGAGCGGTGAGAGTGAACCTAAACATTTCAGTTGCAGCTGGACAGTTAAACAATGAGCTGAAACTCACTAAAAACCTCTGTCAAGCCAAAGAGAGCAGCAGATTATGCTGAAAAGCCTCTACAGATTCATCGCTCGTAGGAGCGATCCCTTTCACATTGGCACAATGCTTTCCACAAATATTGTGCTTTCCCCTGACAATATTTGTTAGTTTAAAGTATCAGTTATAGCCAACTTAAGTAAGGATGACTGTTTAGCCCAATTCCAACATGTCATCATGGAAGCCATTTTGTGATCCCAGACCTGTATACACAGTTGACCGAACTAACGCCAATCTGTTGTGACTTTCTCCTGTAGCCTACATTGACTCTGCAGAGCAGCCTTTTGACTCGTTTCCCAGAGACAGGCGAGGTTTCAGTCACTGTCCAGGCTTCTAATGGCCGATCTATGGTGCAGGATACCAGGACAGTTCGAGTCTACGGTAACTGTCACGGTCTTGGGTTTTGTTTAGTTGTTTTTCTGTTATATTTTGAATTTCCCTGCCTCTTGTGTTCTCTTCACTTCCTGCCTTTGTATGTTTTCCCGCTTGTCTGTGATTGTCTGTCCTGATTGAATCCTCCTGTGTCTAATCACCTGCACCTCCCCAGTGTATGGTCTGCTGTGCTCTGTTCTGCACCGATATGATCGTTCATGGTATGTTCCCTTGTTGCTCCTTGTCCTGTTCAGCTCTGCTCTGTGTTTTCAAGTATGTTTCCCTCATGGCCTTTTTTTGTAATTTTGATATACTGATCCTGTTTCGTGTTTTTTGTTTTGCCTTTGGATTTTTTGTTACACATTTTTCTTCTTTGCTCGGCAAGTTTTGTTTTGGATTATTTTGTTTAATTATTAAATCAGCTCCATATATCATTCTGCTCCTGTGTTTCTCTGTGCTTGGGTCCGTCCCCTACAACCAGTTTTTCCCACAACCCTGACAGTAACAATGAAATTTGAAAAAACCTAATTGTAGAGTTGGGTCAATGCAGCATAAAATATTGACTGAATATAGGAATTAAACTAAGAATGAAATGTGTGTTTTGGTCAAACAATCTCTGGCTATTCCTCAACTGTTATAGTAAATTCTAAAGATTTTAAACTTTACACTCATGGTTTTGCATCAAGGTAAATTTAATACAGTTCTGTTTTTGTTTTCATAATGAAATATGATGTATATACACCACATTTGATATCTGCCATTACTGTATCTATTCATACACTCTTATGAAATAAATCAATTTTAGAGTTTTAAATGATGACTGTGATGATTGCTTACTACTCCCTTGTTTTTTCCAATCTAAGATAACTTTCAGGTCATCCCTCTGAGTTTCAGCACAAGCCTGGACAACTTCAACCCCAACATTCCAGAGTGGAGAGAGGACATCGGCCAGGTGGTCACCAAAATACTCATTAAGGTAGGACTTGAAAAACAAGTTTTAAATTATGCTTTTCTTAAGTAGTGTGTGTGTGTGTGTGTGTTAATAATACACTCTCAAAATAATGGAAATAGCAGAAGTAGTACATCTAATGTATGTCTACCATGGGCCTCACATAAAGACACAAAACAGGAATAATAAAACAGTATGGAAATAAGAGGCTGTTAAGAGTCTCCAGCAATGCTAGCTAAGGTTGTGGCTGTGTACTTGCTATTGCATTGACAATCACAATTTTAACATGCTGTTTTTATCATGTAAACAAAGTATTATACAGTTTACATGTACTGTATTCACCATCATTGTTTTAGGGTGTTAGCATATTAACATTTGCTAATTTGCAAATTTACAAAGTGTGCTGAGTGTGATGGGAATTTAGAACACACTGGCCTGATCTGACCTGATAATAGTGCTAGAAAAAGAAGTAGCCACTAACGTCACTTAAATTGATCCTAAAGGGCACATGAATATCTGTACCAAATTTCATTGTAATCCAAACCATCAACACCACAAATGTCAACAGATTGACAAGCATTGCGATTCCTAGAGCCTGGCTGCAAACATGGATACATTTGGTTGGTGAAATAATACAGAAGATTACAAAATAAAATGTATTTTAAATGTAGTCAAAATATGAAGTTCTATTTGACCTTATATTGTTTGTTATGGCAAAGGTTTTAGCAAACACTTTCATCAGCATCCTATTTGAGTTGTTTTGTGTCAAGCTGACATTAAATCCAATATATTTACAGTCTTTTTTTTTACTTTGTTTTGCACTCTACCAACCCCTGGGAAAAAACTGTTTCTTTAGCTTCTAAATACTCCACTTTTTACCTGCTAGCACAATGTATCAAAGTGCAGCAACATATGTAAACAAAAGTACCTAATTAAGTTTAGAAAAAGATTGTGAAATACTATTTTAGGTTAAGGCAACAGTAGGCTTCCAAGCATTTTTTAACGCAGCTGCTTGTGGCCTCTGCCTGTGTTAATGAGAGCAGTTTGTGAGCCACGTACCAAAACAATGAGTTAGATGAAGCTAAAAAGCTCTTTGGAGCCAAGAAATGTAAGTTTGGGGTAATTATTTGACCCCTTTCACATCACACAGTCATTGATTCATTTCATTGTTAACATACGAATATTGATTAGTGCAGCTTTATTGAGTTCTATCTGACCTTTGACCATCTGATCTCAGACCACAGGTGTCCCTCTGGAGTCCCTGGTTACAGTGGTGAAGCCAGGCCTCCCCACCACTGCTGACTTGTACGTCCTGCCACTGGACAGGAAACCAGCTAAGACGAGCATGTTTATAGATAAGGTACAAGAAATATCGCATGGAAGTTGGCACATAGGCAATGGATCACTTGATTAACTTACTACACATTTCCAGAAAAGCATATCTAGCAAATACATTCTTGCCCTACAAATTAAGCTCCAGGATAGGAAAACAGGCCGGTGAACTTGAGCGGCCCTGCCAGCTCGGATTTTGCATATCATTACCGGGAATATTTCTTTTCAACATGCGTTCACTGTGCAAGTAATTGGACAAAATTCAGCTCTCCAGCAAACTGAAAGTTGGATTTTTTTTTTTTACAAACAGTGGCTGGTGTAATGATGTCACAGTGATTCTGCCGCACTGTTGTCCTGATCTGGAATCACTTTTCATGAACTGCAAACCCTTGTATTCCCCCTGTGAGTTTGTTTCATTCATACGGGTTACATCCCACCGCAGGCCAACGTGTACGAGGCACAGTACATGCTTGCTGACTGAATACTGTGTGTGGAGCGGACAAACCCGGACTCTCATTGTCCTTGGCGACTTAAACAATAGTAATCTCAGTTATGAACTCCCCAAATATTGACGGTATATGAAATTATCAACCAGAGAGAACACTTTGGATCACTTTTACAGTACAATCAGCCGGACATAACGCAACATCTCCGATTCATCCACCAGCATCTGAACTCCTCAGGAACCCACACCAGGATCCTGTTTGTGGACTTCAGCTCTGCTTTAAACACCATCATCCAGCTCTGCAGTAGATGCAACAGCACTTGCCCGACTCCACCTGCTGGTGGATCACAGACTTCCTATCTGACAGGTAGCTGCATGTGAAGCTGAGGAAACTGCTCTTCTCTATGTACACCAACAGCTGCACCTCCAGTCACTTTCCATCAAGCTCCTGGAGTTTGCGGATGACACCACCCTCATTGAACTCATCTCTGGTGGCAATGGTTGCGCCTCATCCCCACAAGAGATTGACCATCTGGTGACCTGGTGCTGACACAACAACTCAACACTCTAAAGACGGTGGAGATAGTTTGTGGATTACTGGAGGAACCCAGTCCCCCGCAATTTGTACACCTCCTGAGGCCGGCAAGAAAGGGGTCACAAACTTCACACACTCTTTGAGTCACCACAATTGAACACCACAAAAACAGTTTCTTGGTGACTGCAGTTGAAAATCAACAAAGCCAGCAACCCCACTGACTCAGACTCTTACACCCTCGGTATCATTTACACCTTCAATACAGACACTTTAATGACATTTTTCAACATACTCTTATGTATTCATTAGGCCCGGAGAACCGACATAGTCAGAGCGGAGGACCTATTGTTCTTCAAATGTTTATTAGGGCCCGAGCACCGACAACGTCGGGCCAGCAAAGGCCCTATTGAAATTGTAAGGGGTATTATTATTGGGGCCTGAGCAACCGCCAACGTCGGGCCAGCAAAGGCCCTATTGAAATTGTTAGGGTTATTATTAGGGCCCGAGGAACCGACAACGTAGGGCCAGTAAAGGCCCTATTGTAATTGTAAGGGGTATTATTATTTTTATTCCAATTTTTGCACAAAATTTCCTATGCATGATGCTACTTCAAGCCTAAGCATATTTCAATGACTACATTTTCAATAACTCATAGCGCCACCTACTGGCAAAATGAAATGTTACATTTTATACTTTTATTTACTAGGAGAAGTAAATAAAAGTATAAAACCAGTTCACCTGATCAAACTACAATTTGGTGTAGAAAGCCTTAAGACATTGAAGATGCATCATTCTAAATCTTTTAAATTGCTTCCATAGCGCCCCCTACAAACTTTCAAAAGGGCTGCCCCATCGCTAAGTTTCACCTACATGTATTTAATTTGGTAGGCACATGTAACTCATGGAGACTTAAATAAAAGTCTCTTGGGACCATGCTCTAAACCGTAACGGAAGTCGGCTATTTTCATTTTTGTGTCATTTGTTTGATAGATTTTTGCCCATTTCTAGTCGCTATACTTTAACAAACTCCTAGGGAATTGGTCTGATCCTCTTCATTTTTGGTCAGGACAATCTCAAGACCTTTGTGATTAAAAATTATTAAAAGCTTTACTTTTCATTGAATGGCTTAGCCGTAGCGGGCGGCTACATTATGTGATTCCCTATCAAAAATCCTGATGAAACTCCAATGGACTTGTTCAAATCTGTCCTGAACTTGCCATGCTTTATAACACACATGACCTGAGGATGTCTACAAGCTACATTTCACTAATATTCACAGCGCTACCTGCTGGTTACAGGAAATCAGCGTTTTGTGACAAACGGTATCAGATTTACATGATTTATACAGAATGTGGTTTACACCTGATATCGAGCAACATAATGCATGTTTGCACGTGTTTTGTAGAGCCACACAGCGGATACAGGAAGCGGTTGACAATTTGCAAAGCGTAACTTCCAGCGTCAGGCGGTCCACTCAGGAAAAAACATTGAACTCGCGGACGCGTTGTCCGACGGTTGATTAGACTCCAGTTCTGAAGACATCTGCTGGCCAATTTTGAATCATAGTCATAGCGCCACCTACTGGTAACAGGAAGTTAAAGTCTCTATACTTTGGCTTGTTCCTCTTAGTAAGTAAATCAGATCAACATCAAATTAGTTCCACAAAAATGTAAGAAGTTCATAATGCCAGTTCATGAAGCTTTTGATGTTTCGTCGAACGCCGTTGCCATGGTGACGCAGTCTTCGCCATGAAGAGAGGGGCTGAAAATGCTTGAGACATAAGCAAACTTGGCATACACATTTAAAGCCCAAAATCGAGTTACATATTATGGTTTTAATACTTCAGAGTGACAATTTGGTCCGATAGCGCCCCCTACAAAATTTCGACAAAGCAGCCCTCGCAGTACGTTTCACATAGATTTACAAAATTTGGTAGGCACATAAATCACATTTGGACTCAAAAAAAGTCTCTTGGGGCCATGCACTAAACCCAACCAGAAGTCAGCCATTTAGAATTTTGTTTGAATTTCTAGTGTCGTTTTTGACATTTCCAGGCGCTGTACTTTACCGAACTCCTCCTAGGGAATTAATCAGATCAATTTAGAATTTCGGCTGAATATTCTCAAGACCTTTGTTGTTAAAAGTTACGAAAAGCTTGAGGTTTCATGAAACGACATGGATATGGTGTGGCAGCCATTTTACATGGTTCGCCATCATCCATCAAGCTGTTGTAACTCAAATGTACTTTGTCATGGCTTTAGGACTTCTGCATGCCAATATTAACTCATGGTCATAGCACCACCTACTGATAACCATGGCCGTAAGCAGGATTCTTTAATTACAGCGGCCCAAACACTGAACTTATTAAAAGGGTTCGTGGGCACACCACCAGAAAAATACTTCTCTGATCTAAATATGTACAAACTAAGATGTTTAGAGACAAGAAATTGAATAAAAAAGGTTTCCAAATCGCGCTTGTACGTGGAGTTTTCATTAATAGTAAATTGAAATGTTTTTGTTCGTTTTGGAACAAGCCGTAATGTAAAGTAATTTCATGCAATGTGAAGTTTTTAAATCAAACTGCACCCAGCCTAATTTATATGATAGATTATTCTACATTTTGGTTTGAAATTTAATTCTTTACTAAAATATGTTTTTTTCCACATGGAACTATACATTCTCCTATTTCTCCTTGACTCTTCGAGCATTGAATCACTCAGCAGTCATTGTCAGAGCTACGTGCACAAATGACCTGCATTTACTTTGACAGTCTGTTATGTTACTAACACTGAAGCACGTTCACACACATTCAGTTTTTTGTCAATTTTTACAGGCTTACAGTTATGATTACAGTTACATGAAGATGCGAGGGCCCGATCATTGCTGCTTGCAGCTTTAATTTCTTTTCAAATTCTATTGTATATTTTCATTTTTAGTTATGTCTTTATCCTATTGTACTGCATTGATTGTTATGCACCAATCAAGTCAAGTATCTTGTATGTGCAAATATACTTTGAGAAACTGATTCTGGTCTTGACATAATATCCTATTGGCATATAATGTTAATACAGGCAATCTTTTCAATAAAACTCACATTGTGTGAAACGGCTTTTTCTACTGTAAATGAGCTTGTATTTTTCTGCTTGTATTTGGAGATTCAGTTCAGCCGAAATCTTACAGCCTCACTAACCAAATAGCAGAAAGCTGGCTAAATGTAGCCCCAGTTTGTGCCTCCCGCACATAGCTACTGTTAGTGTGGTGTTAAGCACCGGCGGAAAAACATTGTACATCACAAGATTTATTTATCTATACTGTCAGTAAATGCAACACTGTGACCTTTTGATAATTTTGCAGACCGTAACAAGATATTCAGAGCTGAAGAACAGTAAAGCTAACCATGATAAACAGAAGGGCTACGGCTACTTTATGTATTGACACTCCCCCACAGATGCACACCGAAGAACCTCTCATAGTAGAGCTACACAGAGAAACTGTCAAAGGGACATCAACTTGCTTCTAGCAGAGACACAGAGTCTGACAGGAGCTGCTGGTTAGCTCGGATTACCAGCTCCTTTCCATGCTACACTGAGCGGTGGACAATCAGCCCCTCCGTATCCCCTAACCCTCCATGTCACATACTATGTAGCCTGTCTTGAATGTTTTAAATATGCTGGGAGGGAGGGTTGTAGGATTTGAGAGTGTAGTTGTTTAAGTGTAATGTGTCTGCCCAAACTGCGCTTAGTATTTCCCCATAATTATATATTCTTATCCATAGCGTATTCCAGCCATCATACGAGCTTTCAACGGCAACAATGTCAGCTTTGTTGTGCGCGGAGGACTACAAGTGCTGGTGATGCTAGCAGACCCGAACGCAGGTACCGTATATTACTTTTTTAAATTGCTTACTATATGGTCTGCTTTTTAAAACTACATTTTTTGATATTTTTTAATTACATGTTATTGATTTATTTCCAAGGGCTAGGTCTAATTGCTAATGACTCAACAGATACAGCAGCAGTAACTGGTGCGTTCATGAACCATAAACCCGTAGCTTTCTGTTTGGATGCTTAACCCCAATGCTCTTGGATTCTTGTGCTTTTTCCTTTCCTGGTTTCCAAACAAACCCAATCCTGTACAGATTAAATCTGTCTTCTCTGTTCTCTACTGTGCTTTCTCATCAACCTGACCATGCTTTCATGAATGTTCCTGTTTTGTGTGAGGAATATGTTTAGTTCAGTTGGATGTTTTCTTCTTACCACTTCTGTTCCTGTGCTGATACAGTTATTGACTCAAGATGTTTTCTTTTTCACTATACTTTCTGGATTTGCCTATAGCAACATTTTAAAGATCAGAATATTTTTTTCATTGTGCAAATATTATGCATATTTATTTATTTTCTTACTGTGTACTTCATTACCCTAGGCTACCATGGAGTTGTTGGAGGTCCAGGTTTTTGGGCTCTAGCAGTGATTTTCTCAATCAGCATCATCACCGGCTCCTTCATACTTTACAAGTTCAAAAGGTAAGCCATATCAAGAGCTGTGGCATGTAAAAAAATGTAATCCTTGGACTGGATGGATTCCCCACTGAATTTTATAAAGACTTGTCAAAAACTATGACCACTATTCAACAGAAAGAGATAAAAGTTGAATTCACTGATTTCAATATTAAGGACCCAGTTCACTTCACAAATAATAGGCCCATTTCCTTATAAACACCAATATCAAAATCACGAGCAAAGTTCTGGCAACCAAAATTGAATCATCCTTCATTCACCCAGATCAAAAATGATTTACTTATGGCAGGTATTATTCAAGTAATACATGTGGTCTTTTCAACTTGATAAATATATCCCAGCAAAATAACTCTAAAACTATCATCCACTCACAAGACGCAGAGAAGGTATTTGAAAAAGTAAACTGAATATTTTGTAATAAACAAATGGTTTTGGAATAATTTTCTCAATGAATCAAAATATTCTACAACACACCAAGGGCATCAATCATAATTGGTAATCTAATTTGACAAAACTTCACACCACTGAAGCACCAGACAAGAATGTTCACTCTCCTTCACTATTTATCGAACCATTAGCAGCAGGATATGCCAAAACATTATCACAGGCATCCGCACCAGTTCATAAAATGCAGAAAGGTTTTGTTCAGTCTTTTACTGTATCCCATCATATTTGTTAGTCATTGTTGCTATAAATGGTTCTTCCGTGTTTTTTCTGGCCTATGATTCAATTTCCAGGCCTGATATTCTAATGACCCCAGCAATTAGACAGTTTCCATCTTGTCGTGCAAATCAGTGTGCTCAGTTCTCAAGAGTAAGAAGAGACAGTAGCTTCAAATTGATAATGATGAAACTATAATATATCATTCCGAATGAATGTTATGCTCCCCTTTTTTTTAACACAACCTAATAGTGACCGTCTGAAGTCCAAGTTTATTCTTTGTTTTGAAAACTGTTTAATTTGATTCATTTTCAAACATCAAGAGGAACCTAGCACAAAATGCCCTCAAATTCACTCCAGTGCATCAGGACGATAAATACATAGCTTGTAGTGACATTGAAATTCATTTTGCTCATGTGTGTGGTATTTTGGTGCTCAGCATGGAGAATGATGGATAAGTTCCCAGTGACTTTTTTGCTTGAAATGCCCATCCCTAATGCTGCGTTCTTAATCATTTTAGTGTTTTTATCAGATAAAATAAAATAGGATCTACAAAAATGACAACTATTATTTTGGCTTGAATAGATTGAATATTTCAGTAAATCAAATCTGATGAAAACCACAGGACTAAAACAAAATGAAAAGAAGAGGGGAAGCATTTTGACTGAAAGTAGACAAAAATTGAATGACTTTTTTGTGACTAAAAATGGACTTAAACATTTTTTAGTTGTAGTTTAAAACTATGAGGGATCAAAATTACTGAAATGTGACATAAACTAATGAGCATTTACATCTAAAGACTAAATCTGAAATAGCTGCAGAAATTAACTGCTTTGCGATGAGAGAAGATATCTATATCAGAACTACTTCGGTTTCTGGAACAATGTCACTCCTCTGCCAGTCTAGTGATTTTATCAACAAGAGCAAACAAACTACTCTCATTAAATGAGCAGCAATGGTGAAATAATGGTTAACTATATTCACAATTTTAGTTTAGTGTGTCAGCATGCAAATACATCTGCCAATCAACACAAAATACAAAATTTGGTCATAAACCAAAATATTCGATATATTCTGATGGCTCTTCAGTGGGTCATCGAAGTTACTACAAGTCATCTTGTAAGAAACATGATACAAAATGTCATAGCAATCAATACAATAATTGCTGAGACACTTCAATCTGACCTCACGCATCAGGTGTTCCACTTCGGCCAGCCTAGCAGACCTTACTGCTGAAGGCGTGATGCCGCAGGTCCTGCCTGGGTTCTCCGAGAGGCCCTCCCTCAGATGCTCGAGGCAAGAGGTCAGGGCAGTCCTCAGACTGAAGAGGAGCTATACAGGTCCTACAGCCGGGAGAGTTTAACATAGCCGCGATTCTGGAGGAACCCTTGTCCCACTAGTTGATGCGGAATTCCAAATCAGTCTGAGCGGGAGCGCTCTGCTGAATGTTGAGAACAGGCAGGGGGCAGTCAGAGGAGAGTGATCTTTTCGGACACTCTCTTCACTAGGACAGTCGCTGCGGATATTGGTGTCCCACCAGTTAGCTTGAGCGAGAGCACTCTGCCACTGTGGAAACAGGCCAAAAAAACAGTCCTTATAGTGAGAGGGGAGCGAGGACACTCTTCACTAGGACCGTCGCTGTAAATAGTGGTGTCCCACCAGTTAGCCTGAGCGAAGACACTCAGCTAACTGTGATAGCTGTGATAACTGTGCCGTAATGCTACAAAATCAATGGACACAATCCCAGTATTAACTTAGTCTAGTTAGTGTCCCACCAGGTTAGCCTGAGTGAGGACACCGCCAGCTGCGTCCACAACATCAATGTTGATTTAGTATAACTAGCATTCACCGAGTTAGCTTGAGCGAGGACACTCTGCTAACTGTGATAGTTGTAATGCTACAAAGTCGATGGACATAATGCTAATGTAGATCTAGTCGAACTAGCATCTCATCAAGTTAGCCTGAGCTAGGACACTCTGCTCACTGTGAAGGGTGGGCCGACTGTATATTCTATTTTCTTGTTTGTGCGCCACTCGATTAGCTAGAGCAGAAGGGCTCTGCCAACCGTGGAAAACAAACAACGGTTATAGAAAACAATGTTAATCGATCTCACCGATTGCTGTCTTCACGACTTAGGTGGCCCTTATCAGACTGGTGATGTCCGATGATAGGGGCATCCACCAGTCCGGGGCTCGATGGTCCAAACGGCGAAACACACCGCTCCCTCCGAAGAGGGACAGCTTGTCGCAGCCTTTGGAGGGCGAGAGATCCGCAACTCCGACCGGTGGTCACAAGGCTACAGCGACAAGCTCTAATATGTCTTGATCGTAGACACAGCTTTGTTTATGCTACCATGGTAGCTAACCTGCGTAGCGAGAAGATGAAAAAGGACTGAACTCAGGATAACACTGGAACTTATAGACGACGGGGGTCATCCGAGGTCACAGGTGACTTTGTTGATATAAATATTCGACCTGCGCATGCGCAAGACGGAAGATATCCTGTGTTAAGCACTGCCTTTGGCGGTCAATAAGGATGAAATAGAACTAACTAAACATGAATTCAGACTTTTTACAAATCCGCATCAATACGTATTTATTTCGGAGTCCCTTTATGTCAGTTTATTGCCGTTAAATCACAGCCAAATCTGTTTATTTTGGGTTCATACATCTGTAGTAAACCAAATATTCAAAATAAAATACGATGGCATGCTTTTATTGTTGAAACGATTCAAATGAACCACATTTCTACAAATACCAATAGTTTTAAGCTGTTGCGATAATTTAAAAACTTTTGTCCATCAATTAGAATGTTCTGAAATGGCAGGGTGGCACAGCTGTAAAGATGGGACTTTTATTATGAAATTAAAGTGCAAAACAGTAAACAGGATATTGCATCATCAAGAGGACCTCAACTGACCTTTATAGCCGAGTGAAAATGTTTTTATATCTCTTTTGAATATTGATAAAAATAGCTACTTTCAACTTATAGGTAGAGTGGTTCACTTTCCATGTCAGGGTGGTACAACCAATGTAAAACTAGAAAAATGTTATTTTATCATAAATGTCTTTATTCTATTTAAAATGTACATGTATGAAGTTGTTGGTAAGAACAAAAGCTAATGCTAGTGTCCTAGTAGATGCCTGTTTAATTTGAAATAAGTTGCAAATGTCAGGTGGGGCAACCAGTAAATCAGGTGGTGCAACTGCAAGGAATATCACTATATGATGTTATATTTAAAGCTCTAACATTATATACAATTTGTTTTTCAAAAGTTGAACAGTGTTAAGTTAAGGTTATTATACACTTTCAAACTATTTTCATGATATTAATGAATACTTTTTAACTATTAATTAAGGATGCCACTGTCAAGTAAAGCAAAATCAGCACGACACAGGGAGCAGACAACAAGTCATGTATCGAGTGTGTCCAAAAGGTTGCTACAATGAGGTAGAAGCTGCAACACCCCAGGCGGAAGCAACTGGGAATTTTTCCTATTCCAGTTATGTGCTAAACATGATTACTATGAAATATTTACTGCTTTTACTTAAAAAGAGACTGTTGACTAAAAAAATGTTGTATTTGAAATAAAAATGCAAATTTTCTGCATATTTCCTGTGATTACTAATATTGTCAGGTGGCACAACTGATAAATGCCATGGTGGTGCGACCAGGTAAAATATTAATTTAAAGCAATAAATAATAGGTTAAAGTGATTTGTTTTTTGCTTAATGTGATGTGAAGTACTATTGTATTGAATGTATTCATTTGTATATTTGTATTATTATGTTTAAATGTAAAATCAAATGTTAAATATACGAAATACCTGGCCAAGAGAACGCAATTATGATAAATTATTGTATATATATATAAAACACAACCACAAAATACGATGTGTTAGACACAGTAGACACTCTAAGGGATACTTGTCAAAAATTTCAGTTTGAAGAAATATTAGGAAAATATATATTTTTTTTATAAATATGTGGTTGTGCGACCTGACATTTTTTAGCCTGTGAAGTTAAAAAATTCTTTAAAAACTATTTAAAACACTATGAAAAGTTGGTTCACAACTTAGACTTGGTTCACAACTTAGTCACATTGTTCCAGACACAAAAATATGCATTTTAAAAATGACCTTTTTAGAAGCCTTATTTGTCAATGACCCACAAATACAGGTTATTTTTTCCATGGTTGATGGCGGACAGTTGAACGGCTTCCAGGGCGATAAGCCACGCCCCCTCTCTGGCGCGTCCAGCGCGATTCACGTGAATGAACACAAATAGTCCCCGGCGAGACCGGCGCAAATGACGCGATTAATTTGGTGTGAACACGGCATAACAGAGCTGTGCTCTTCCTCTGTGGAACATCTTTTGAATCAAAAAGCAGCACCTCATGGTGTCCAAAACACAAAAGTTACATAAATTCAAACATGAAGTGTGAAACATGACCCTGTCTTACAAAAAAAAAACAAATCCCACAGTCCTTGGCTTCGGACTGAATATGCCTTTCCCCCACTGTTTTTCAGGAAGCTCCCAGGTAGCCGCAACGTCTACGCTCAGATGCACAACGAGAAGGAGCAGGAGATGACCAGCCCTATCAATCACAGCGAGGACACCCAGCATATCATCCAGGGTGAGGAGTTCATCGACGATGACCTGGACTCGCAGACTCTAGGTAACACAGGATGTAGTTGAAACTTAACAGATTCACCAATCTCCTCGTGGGGATATTAATATCCCCAGGAAGAATTAACAATGTATTTAATTGTTTATATGACAAAATAGTGAAATATATTATTGTTATTGTTATTATAAAGTTGGGTAACACTTTATAATAATTGGCTTAGCTATGAAGCACTAGTTAAGTATGAGTAAACACTTAATTCACTATTAATATAGCATTGTTCCTGCACTAAAACACGAATGTGTATTAATACTGTAGCGACCCTTGGTAAGGAAAGCTACTAGATGTTATCTTATTTGTGGTGTTTTATTAGTGGACAGTACACAGGCTACTGTGGGCCGTAGCCTATGCCAAAAACAGTCAATACCGTTAACCGTTCTCTAACAAGCTTAACCATCTGCTTCTGGTAACTCTCAACAGGCTAGCAGCACAAACAACAACATCCCCCCTCACTCTCTCTGCCAATCCCAGGCATGTTCATGTGTGCCACCCACCCCCATAGGCAGCTAGGGTGATTGACAGGTTCCACAGCCTCACAGGGAATGAGGCCTTCACTGACCTCAGTAAATGCAACAACCAACCCATCGATAACACTTACAACACAACTCAGTCCGTTACAATACTAATTAACGATGCTAATGTAATTAATGTATAATTATGCATGTAATTAATAAACACATCTTTTAATGTTTTATTCTTGTTTAATGAGCTAATCTATAATGTTGTAGGAGCGTGGAAATAACGAGTAGGCAAGTATCCCTTTTGGCTGCACCTTGTGGCCGTTTATTTCCATCCACAAAACACATCACACACATTCACTTCCTGCTACCCTTTAACCCCCCTTGTGATCAGGGTTACGCCCCTTTTCTCAAACTAGAGATTAGTCCAAAAAACACTTAATGTATCGGGGCCCGAATCAACCGACCAGCCTGACTCCGTGTCTCTGGAGCAGGAGGCAGGACCACTGCCGAGTGAAACCTCTGGGTCTTCTCGCGGTGTGGTGGGAGGGCATGAGGCCGCCCCCGCTGTGGGGGTTTGGCCAACCTTACCGGTTGGTCCAGGTCCAGATGTGCTGGCTTAACGCGGTCAACCGACACGTATTCCAGCCTGCCGCCCATGTCGACCTTGCAGGTTTTGTCTCTGGTCTCCAGAACCGAAACGGCCCGACGTAGGGGGGTTGAAAGGGTCCACGGTGGCCGTCCTGGTGAACGAACACATACTCCGCTGACTTGAGGCTGGACGGGACGTACGACTGTGGGAGGCCGTGCTGCGACGTGGGCACCGGTTTGAACAGTCTGGCTTTTTCCAGGAGCGTTTCCCGCTGCTGGGTCGCAGACCAATGGTCTGTGACTTTGGGGATGAACTCCCCTGGGACCCGCAGCGGCTGTCCATAAACCAATTTGGCAGATGAAGCTTGTAGGTCGTCCTTGGGGGCTGTCCTAAGCCCCAACATGACCCACGGAAGCCTGTCCACCCAACCGCTGTGATTGAGGCTGGCTCGGAGAGCAGCTTTCATAGAACAGTGGAACCGCTCGCATAAACCATTAGCCTGCGGGTGGTTGGCAGTAGTGCGATGGAGCTTCACCCCTAGGCTTCCTGCAACTGCATTCCAGAGCTCTGACGTAAACTGTGGGCCTCAGTCCGAGGAAACGTCAGCTGGGGCTCTGAACCTGGCGACCCAAGTCTGAATAAAAGCCCGAGCCACCTCATCTGCCGTTGTTGACGACAACGAGACAGCTTCTGGCCAGCGAGTGGTTCGGTCTACCATTGTGAGGAGATGCATGAAACCCCGGGATGGGGGCAAAGGTCCTACTAAGTCCACATTCACGTGATCGAACCTCCTTTCTTGAACCGAGAACTGTGCTGAAGGGGTCTTTATGTGACAGTGGACCTTGGAGCGCTGGCACACCACACAAGTCTCGGCCCATTTTCGTACATCCTTTTTCAGCCCGTGCCAGACGAACTTCGCTGCCACCAACTTCTGAGACACCCTCTTGCCAGGGTGTGACAGACCATGAATCGCGTCGAAGACCTGTTGTCTCCATTCGTCGGGAACAACCGGCCGTGGCTGGCCTGTGGAGACGTCACACAGGAGCATAGTGCCAGTTTTGCCAAACGGGACCTCCTCCAACCGCAGTCCCGTAACTGCCGTCCTCAATTCCTGAACGCCCGGGTCTGTAACTTGATCCCCAGCCATCTTGTCATACTCCAATCCTAACTGGACAGCCCCGGTGACGGCCCTGGAGAGACAGTCTGCGACCAGGTTTTCCTTGCCCGCTACATGCCGTAGATCCGTGGTAAATGCCGAGATGAAGGAGAGATGAAGGAGAGCTGGCACTGCTGGTGTGCGGACTATGGTTTGGCGCTCTTCCCCATGGCAAATGTCAGTGGCCTGTGATTCACAAACGCGGTGAACTGCCGAGCCTCGAGCAGTAACCGGAAATGCCGAATGGCCAGAAAGAGGCCGAGGAGCTCCCGATCGAAAGTGCTATACTTCCGCTCATTAGGCCGCAACTGTCGACTGAAGAGAGCGAGCGGTTGCCACGCCCCTTTCACCCACTGCTCGTGCACCGCACCCACCGCGTAGTCCGAAGCGTCTGTGGTGATGGCAATCGGAGCTTTAGGTGACGGGTGTGCCAGCATTGTTGCATTTGCCAGAGCCGTTTTAGCATCCACAAACGCAAGTTCCCTCTCTTCGGTCGAGTCAACAGCCTGTTTGATGGCCTTGCCAAATTCACGATGCCTAAAAAATCCTGCAGGGCCCTCACTGTGAGTGGGCGTGTAAAGTTAGTCACTGCCTCCACCTTTGACATAAGAGGAACTGCCCCGTCCTTCGTGATGCGGTATCCCAGGAAGTCAATGGTGGCCAATCCAAACTGGCACTTAGCCGAGTTGATGATCAACCCGTGCTGGCTGAGTCGCTCAGAGTCCGGAGGTGAGACATATGCTCCGCTCTTGACGAACTGGCCACTAGGATGTCATCCAGGTAGACGAACAGGAAAGGCAGGTCCCTCAGCACCGTGTCCATTAGACGCTGGAACGTCTGTGCTGCATTTTTTATGCCAAACGACATCCTCAAGAACTCAAACAGGCCGAATGGAGTGATCAGTGCCATCTTGGGAATGTCCGGCGGGTGAACGGGCACTTGATGGTACTTCACTTTCGAAAACACCACGATATCCGGCAAGTGGGCAGAAAAGTCTTGAATATGTGGAACCGGATAGTGGTCCGGGATTGTTGCCTCGTTTAGCCGGCGGTAATCACCACACGGGCGCCACCCGCCCCCAGGCTTCGGTGCAATGTGCAGGGGTGAAGCCCACGGACTGTTGGAGTGGAAAATGATGCCAGGTCGCTCCATGTTTTCAAACTCGGTCTTGGCGATGGTGAGCTTTTCCGGATCTAGGAGCCGGGCCCGGGCATGCACCGGTGGGCCGGTGGTAGAGATGTGATGCTCCACCCCATGTTTGACCGTGGAGGAAGAGAAGGTGGGCTGCGTGAGGTCTGGGAACTCGGCCAGCAGCCGCAGAAACTCATCAGCCGCTGCAAGCATGCTAGTCAACCTGATAGAGCCAGCTCCACTTAATGTACATGGGTAACAACAAAAAGTCACAGCATTTATCAGGCGGCGGCCCTTGACGTCCACTAATAGTCCATAAGCGCATAGGAAATCCGCGCCAAGCAGGGGAATGGCAATTTTGGCAGTAAAAAAGTCCCAGCTGAAACGCTGCCCCACAAAACACAGCTCCAGGCACCGTGTCCCAAAAGTGCGTATGGGGGTACCATTTGCGGCTTCTAGGGGGAGGCCCTGCCCGTTTGTCAATATGTCCACCCTCGATGCAGGCATAACGCTCCTCTGCGCCCCCGTGTCGCAGAGAAACCGCCACCCGGAAACGTTGTCCTGGATGAACAGCAGCCTGCCTCCCCGACTGATGCTCATGGCAGCTACTGAGCACCGGCCCTGGCATTTCCCGTCCTGCGGAAACTGCATGGAGAACGGCACCTTGTAGTCTTCGGCCCAAACCTTGCGTGGTAATAGCACAAGCCGGTAGATCCCTGCCGTTGGCTCGCTGCTGCTAAATTAAGTTTTATATCAATTACAAACCAATTATTTAGGATTTGTTAAAGATGATTTTTAAAGCAAGTTGATAACTAAGACATTATTTAGATGTACATTTATACATGCATTTAAACATATAATGATTTAGATATGCACTAATGGTTAAGGGGTATGTTAATAGATGTTTTATTAACGTGTATTAATTAATGTAGTTCATAAGAGTCTCACTAGTCATTAATGAATTATTTTGTGTGCCTTGATCTAAAGTGAGGACTATTTATGTCTTAGAAAGGATTTACAAAGGGCCAGCAGTGCCTCAAAACTCACACATAACACAAAAATAATCCTGAACATATCAATATTTATTGCAAGATGCAAACAATGTAAAAACATACCTCTCAGCCATTCATTCATGTAAAAAAACAAACAGATTGTCCTTCAGGAGAACATGGCTGGATATAAAACTACTGTTTATGTAAAAGGAAAATAAACCTCGGAAATCTGATATGAAACCAAATTTCTGTCAAGTGTAAACATGGCTGAATAAAAAAGATTAGAAGAGCTGACCAATGAACTAGGACATTTTCCACATCTATTCTGAAGTTGTAGAAATGGAAAAATTAAATGTTTGAAAGATAGCATTTAGTTGTATTATTTTATTATATTATTTTTATAAAGATTTTATTTGTGGTATTTTGCAATAAATATTGATATGTTCTTGATCACTTTGTGTTGTGTCTATTTGCCTTTTCTGTTGAGAAGATAATTAAGTTTTGGAGCACGGCTGGCCTTTCAATGTCTTTTCTAAATGCCTTACAAAGCATTTAATAATCCTCACTTTAGATCAGGTCACAAAAAATAACGACTTGACTAACGAATAGTAACTACCTGAATTAATCATGACTTGCAGTATTAATACACATTAATAAAACAACTATTAACACACCCCCTAACCATTAATGCATATATAAATCATATCTATAAATGCATTGATAAATGTATATCTACATAATTTCTTAATTATTAACTTGCACTTGATAAATTATCTTATGAACCATTAACAGCTCCTAAATAATTTAATTGGATTGTAATTCATATAAAACTTAATTTTTTGAAAATAAAATAATTAATCACATTATAGATGAGCTTATTAATCAAGAATAGTGCTGGGCAAGTTAATGCGTTATTATCGAGTTAACGCATTAATTAATTAACGCCGACAATTATTTTATTGCGCATTAACGCGGTTTATTTTTTTATTATTAAGCGGACATTTTTAACACCAGAACCGGCCGGCCAACTGGCCGGCAGCGAGTGGCGAACAGCTGTTTGTGTGGCGTCTCTTCCTGTTTCCTTCACCTACATTCCCCTGGGTCCTAAGTCCCTCCATGTACCAACGTACATTTATAACAAATACCACACATATTACGGTAATCAGGGTTAGGGTTGCATATGTGTCTGACCAAAAAAGCAAAAAAAGAAATGATTCATTTAAATTATTTTTTTAGAGTTTTTAAAATGTTTTTGTTTGGATTATGTATAATAAGCATATCACTTAGTTATCGCTACTGAGAATTTAACAAACAAAAAAACACCGGCTGAATATCTATTATCAGAATCATTATAACTGTATTTTAACTTTATTTGTTTAAAGTGTTTGCAAATCAAATGTTATTGCACTTTTATTCATATAGCAGTACTTTAAAATAAAAGTGCACAATACACTACTTTTGAATTCATTATTGAATTTTGCACATAACAATGTGATTAATCGCAAAAGAATCATGCGATTAATCGCGATTTAAAAATTGTAATCGTAGCGATGTAATCGGAGCGACGACCCACCACTGTGATAAAGTAATGAAGGGATTATTCCATACTTCAAGTATGCTATCAAGAACGCACATTTGTTCGCATGAGCAAATGAATGACAAACCATTTACTGTGTCACACTTCACATCTTAATTCACAGTAGAGGAAAAGTGTTGCCCACCATGAGCACTGCAGTAACCATAGTTTTATTTTAATTAATAATTCAGCTCCTGCTGACGGTGTCAAACTAGTCCATGAATTGATAGTTAGTGGCAGCAATTTGCCAAGAAAAAAAGCAAATAATACCGATGCGTGAATGTGGTGGCAACATTTTACTGTTACTGTAAAAATTTCCCTCCACCTTTTATTTGTCAGGATTGCTCGTATATATAACTTTAATGTATATCTCACCAGTTGTTGATGTTCTCTGTTACCGTGTTTTAATTAACGTGTCTCTGTTCTGTTTCTTCTTCCCTCTTGTTGCCAGGCAGCCATTCCGGTGTGGTCCTGAACATCAACTCCAGAGAACTACACAGTTACTTGACCAGCTGATGGCTGTCATGGCAATGCTAACGAGCTAGACTAGTCTAGCTGGCTAACGAGCATAGGACTCCACTCGGCCTTCCTCTTTCTCTCTTCACTACTTCTCCTTTTTACCTCCACACCATGGCCTCCTGAACCCTTCACCTCCAGCTATAATGTGATTTTTATTTAGTTTTTTGTCTTCGAGGTGGGGGCTTGTTTGTTGGGGGGTAGGGAGGTCTTGATAGTGTCACATTAAGGACACTTGCTTATCTGTGTTATGAAAGGAAAGAAATCTGTGTGTACGTTGTCTCTCACTTGCAGGCACTCAAAAGCAGTGACTAACTACACTGGTTTCCAGTGATTTCCACAGTCAGAGAGGGTTGAACCATCCATTACCAAAAGGCCATTGCCACTGAAATTAGGTAGTGGCCAAAGATGGGTGCACTACAATGATTTTCAAGCATTAGTGTGCGTAAAATAGTGAATATGAAAGAAAAATATCTTTAATCATATACCCTATTTCATTCACTCTTTGCTTCCCACAAATAGGCAATAATGGTCTCCCAACTATGATAAAGTTAATTTGCATATGACAGTGTTAGCATGCAAACACAAGACGGCGGTGTTGCACTTTTTTTAAATTCACACTCACAGGTTCTCTGGAATTATACTGTATGTGTTCACAAAGCATTGTTTTTTTTTTCAAAATCCCACTGCATTCATGTTATGTTGTCACTCACAAAAGTTTTTGTTTGGACTTCATCAACAAAAAGCTTTGAAGGAGTTCATAGTCTGTCCCATGGTGCCTAAAACAGCAGAAATGTATCTGCACAGTGATATTTCCAGTTGTCAACATTATTTATTTTTAATTGGAGTATGGCCCTTCCTCCTCCCCAAACATTCTGAGTCAGTTCAAAACGGACTTATTCCCCCGGAGTCATACGCCATTATGAAGGGAAAGTGTAGTTAATGTATTTTACTGTATCAGCCTATATTAGGCACAGCCCACAGTGGAATAATGTCTCCTTTAAGGTTTGGTTTGTTGTATGTATATGTTTAAATATGAACAAACTCTACTTTGTACATGTTCCCTTTGACATGAGTGTGTGAGTGTTTTACACTACTACCAAAATACACAGCTTTGTTTTGGAGCAAATATATTCGCTCAGTTCCTTTTCCATTGTAGCCATGTATCCATTTCGATAATTAGTGTAAAGTCATGTGCAAGATAATTTTCTGGTCTTCATTGTTAACTGGAAATAATTTCCTTGTCTTATACTCACACTGAGTTTAACACATTAAAAGGAAACTTCGGGATATGAACATGGACTACTCGCTTCTTTATCTCTCTGTTCTCCGCATCAATTGTGGAGAAGAAAAGCCGAGACTTTATGAATGTGGAAAGACGTCGCTCTCAAAATTAACTTCAAGCCATATGTAAACCAACAAAATTCTGGATAAGTAGACTATTAACTCCTCTAATTATACCCCTCCCTCTTTATTTTTTTGTTTTTGATTTCTTTTTCTCCCTATAATGCCATGAATATAATGAGAGGACAAATTGAAAGCAAGTATGCAATATTTTAGTCTGTACTACTTATTGTAAAAGAAACTAGGAACTGGCAATAGCCGCATAAAACTTGGCCCAAAACGCGGCCCATTCACGAAAAACTGATCGATATGGAATTAAAAACAGCTCAGCCAATTACTTTCCCCCCCAACTATATATTCATAATGGATAATGCCAAGATCTTTAGAATTAAGAGTTCGGAGTTGGAACATCAAAGGTGCCAATGACCCAATCAAAAAGATGAAAATACTGAACTACCTTAAAAAAAGAGAGCAGATATTGCTTTATTACAGGAGACCCATTTAAGTAATTTGGAGCATAATAAACTTTAAAAAGACTGGGTAAGTCAGGTGTATTCTGCATCTTATTGCATTTTCACTTTTTATGCTCTTAAAAGATGTTTCAGACTGAGAGGAGGCCAAAAGTTGATTTTGTGAAAGTAAACATAGCTTCAAAGATTTTCTTTAAAAAAGTGTCTCAGGACAGTTGATTTAACAGTTTCATGTCATTTTCATGAATAACTAATGTTTTGTGCATTTTCACTTTTTATGCTGTTAAATAAAAGTAACTGAGTACCCTCTACTTGAGGCTACGGAAAGCACTTTCCATATCCATGACCCGAGGTCCTAGAACCTTGCCAACGGTCTCTTTCGAAACACAATGGCCACTTTTGTGGGTATAGACACCACTCCCGGGGCTCTAGGACCTTCACAGGGGAAGTGACGCCCCTTTGAGCGGGTACTTTAAACAAACGTAACTGAGTAAAAGTAATTGCAATGGCCGCTTTAGTGGATATATACACCACTCCTTGGGCTCTAGGACCTTCACAGGGGAAGTTACGCCACTTTGAGCAGGTACTTTATATAAAAGTAACTGAGTACCCGCTACTGGAGGCACGGAAAGAGGGTTAGGGTGGTATAGGCAGGTTTAAGCAATACAAGTTATAACTAAGGTTATAACTGAGGTGGTTCGGGCATCTAATTAGGATGCCTCCTGGATGCCTCCCACTGGAGGTTTTCCAGGCACGTCCAACTGGGAAGAGACCCCGGGGAAGACCCAGAACACGCTGGAGGGATTACATCTCCCAGCTGGCCTGGGAACGCCTCGGGATCCCCCAGAATGAGCTGGAACATGTTGCCGGTGAGAGGGAAGTCTGGGTCAGCCTGCTTGGCCTGTTGCCACCGCGACCCGACCCCGGATAAGCGGAGGAAAATGGATGGATGGATGGAAGTTAGAACTAAAAGAACCATATGATAAATTTCCACCACAACGTCATGTTCCGTTACCGTTCAGACTTGCTGGGTTAAGTTGACGTCCACTGCATGCGGAACCTCGTGGACTGTTAACGTCATTATCACGGTTTAGGAGGAAAAAACGTAATGTGATGAAACATGCAGCCCCCCCGTGTTCCGGTTCAGTTCTCGCGGTCACTCATTAACGTTAAACCCGAACACCGGCGGATCTGGTTGCAGGTTGTTTGTTTTAACTCAAAGTAGAATGAGGCGATTTCGTGGTCATAGTAACTTGAAACATGAGGCCCAGATACTGATGAGATGATGAGGTCAAAGAGCTTAATGAAGAGGAGGCTGGTTGTGTAGTGCAACTTGACGCAGGGCTGAGCTGTGAGTGGAGCTGGGCCTGGATAAAGGTGTAGGTCTAAACAGACGTGAGTACAGCTTCCTGCTGTCACAGTGTTTTAAATACATTGATAAGGCAGGGTATGCTAAATGCAGCCTCTGCTCCAAGGAGATAAACTACAGCAACAAGGGCTCACATGCCCTCCATCACACTGACAGACACTGTTCACTGTAATGACCACAGCCAGTGTACTAACAGTCCCAACAGTCCCACGTGCAGTTAAATCACAGCTATTATTTTACTCTTGATAAGCTACCTTAGCCAGAGTAGATTATCATTTTCATTTAAATAATTGAACTGGATTGAATGCATATTAATTGCAAATAGAAGATGGACCACAATTCTAACAGCTGTACAGTAACAGTGGAAGTTAATATGAAGCCATACAGTAACAGGGTTCAATGAAAAGGAATCACTTTATTTGTACAGGCGATGGTTCCCGCTACTCTTGCTATCTTTGTTTTTATATGAATAAAACTTTTAAAGGTTAATAATAATAGAGCTGAAATACTGATTAATACCTGAATAATAAATTTGTTTTTTGCTTCAAGTAAATGTCTTATCACTTAATTTTCTTCTCAGAGTACAGCAGAATGCTACATTTTAAAGCTCATAATTAAAATAAAATGCTCCAGATATGTGTGAGCATATGGCTCACACACATCAGCACTCATTTTGTTTTGTTTTGCACAGGTTGCACATTATTGTTGTTTTGAAAAGATATGCAGTGCACAACTCAGTAAAACTCTTTATTGCCTAATATTTGAACTTGTTTTGTTTATTTCTTCACAGGTTGCACTTTATTGTTATTATCTTGAAAAGATATTCAGTGCAAAACAGGTGCATTGCAGCCACAATAAGCTATTTCTTGCCAAATATTAGTTATTTTTTGCACAGATTGAACTTTATTTGCATTGTTCTAACAAAGGTATTACACATTGTATTTGTTTTTGTCTAATGGAGCAATCTGGTTTACTTGAAAGTGATTGCAATTTTCTTTATTCTATTATTTGAAAAAGCACAGATGGAGGAGTCACAAAATGTTATTTCAATAAAAGTTCAACATGGACCATTTTGTTACAATTTTGTTGGGGCGGTGGGGCATGAACATTTTTCTTCCTCCAAAGTGGGGCGTGATCGAAAAAGTTTGAGAACCACTGCTTTAAAGTATTAAAACCAAATGTAAAGACTGTTAAATACATGTGGGTTTCTGTTGTGTCCCATAAAACCACTTTTCCATGATGGATCTTCATGAAAATGACATGAAGGACAACAGACAACACCCTTTCAGGTTCAGTTGGATTCAAATCAATACAATGTTCCTGTAGAGTGATAGCTTTCCAAAGGGTCTGCAGACTGCTTGCTTGGCATGCTGAATCAAGTCATCAGAGACAATGTTTGATGCAAAATTGAGGCAGTTTCCACCTTTTTCTCAGATTTTATGACCATCTTTACATAGGTCAAATTAAACCTGATTGTGAAAGGAAAAAAAACGTGGCAGCTGCCGGACCCTGGATTCTATGGAGGATGAAAAATGTGTTGTGTATGAATGAATAAATGCATTAATAAATGTATAAATTAATACAGGAATAAATTAAATTAATGCATTTTGTTTTCTTCATCATCGTTCTGTTTGAGTGTTTGTTTTTGTTCAGTTTGAGTGTGCAATATTGTCAATAAGGGTGTGTTTGAGTCCTCCTGACGAAGAGACATTGTTCAGGTAAATGGAATGAAATGGTGTTGCCAGGCTCACCCACATATTGCAAACCACACTGTTTACATTTAATCAAATAAATTCAGTTCCTAGATTTCAGACTTAGTTTGCTGAAATGTCCTGTGACATTTTCTAAGAGAGGTCCTAGAGTTCCCTCTGCTGGCCAAAGCTGGGAATACCACTCTGTTTGCAGAATCAAAGTCTCACTGCAGATTCTCTGAAATCTTAAGAACTGTGACTTATTCAAGCCCGTATAAGTTGGCTGAGTTAGTGAAGGGGAGCCTGACATGCGTGCACACAAAATCCCAGGTCAATTGGAGCAAGCAGCACGGAGCTGTGGACTTTACAAGTCCATAGTGTAGGTACTTGACCTCACGACCTTGGCCCACAGGTCAACACTGAGCAACTTTTGATGCAAAGGTCCTAGGGCCTTCTGTCCTAACCCTAATCCTAACCCTCCTAAGAGGGCCACGAGGGGCACTGGCACAAGGGGGCTGTCCTTTAAAAAGGCTTTGATAAAAACCCTGAAATAAAAGACAATTAAGACAATTTTATTAAAAACAGTCTAGGCAGCGGAGCGACTGCCAGCGGGAAAGGCAGAGAGGAAATGTTAAAAGGGGAAGGGAGGTTAAAAAGCGCAAACATGGGGACAAAGGAATAAAAAACACAATCACACACAGCACCTCCCCAATGAATATATAAATATATATAAAATGTATAAATAAATTTATATAAAAAAATAAATTAACATATAATAAATGTATGTACACACAAACACCACCTCTAAAACTTTAAAAAGATAAATAAATAAGTGCTTTAAAAAAAGATAAATTAACATATAATAAATGTATATACACCCACACACCACCTCTAAAACTTTAAAAAGATAAATAAATAAATAAGTGCTTTTTTAAGAAAAATACATAAAAACATGAGTGAGATAATGTGTAAAATTATGCCCAATAACCCCATCCCACGTCCGCCGCTTGATTGGGAGTAAAAAAAAAAAAAAAGGGGGGGGGGGGGGGGGGCCTCGTCTGCCTGTGGGGAAAGGGGAGGACATAAGGTGTGTCTCCACCAGGGGAAAGTTAAAAAGAGATAAATAAATTAAAAGATAAGATAAATAAAAATATAAATAAATAATTTAACAACAATATACAATAAAAAGAGTTAAAAAGGTGAATAAAACCATGCATAATATATTAAGAACATGCGTGAAGAAAAAGTATAAATATATAGATATATAAATATAAATAAACATGTATATAAAAGAAGTGCTATGGTGGAGATATAATGGGGTCGTGGGAAAAGACAAAGGGGTGGCAGGCGAGGCTCCAATAAAAAACAGACTGGGAGTTAATATTTTTCATTCAGCCCGTACGGGTCTATAGTTCCCAGTCT